AGGGTCGAGCTGAGGTGTGAGGAGCTGCGGCTGCAGGGAGACAACTGACCTGGAGAAGTAAGTCAGGGGTGCTGGCAGGGTGGGGGCTGAGGACTGTGTAGAGTCAAATCTATTAAAAAACAGATTCTGTTTATTTGCCCAAGCCTTGTCCCCTGTGACCTGTTGACCATCTCCACTTTTACCATGACCCGAGATGTGTTTCAGGCCTCTCCACACTTCACGCACGTTATTCTCCATGCTCTGCTCCAGCTTCTTCCTGTAGCTAGCCTTGCACCTCCGGATCATGTACTTTAGTTCCTGCTGCACCCTGCTCAGCTCCTCCTTGTCCCCTGAGAGGAAAGCCCTCTTCTTCTCATTTAGCAGTACTTTTAACTCGGGGCTCACTCAACGGCTGTTGTTGTTAGGAAAACACCGTACTCTCCTGGATGGTACGGTATTTTCTACACAGAAGTTTATGTAATCCGAAACACAGTGTGTGAAGCCGTCTATGTCCTCTTCATGAGGACTGCAGAGGATATCCCAGTCTGTGGTGTGAAAACAGTCCCTCAGCTGCTCAATTGCATCCTCTGTCCATGCCTTTATTACCCTGACCTGGGGTGACACTTTTTTCACCACTGGAGTATACACAGGGAGTAGGTGAACAAGGTTGTGGTCAGAGCGACCTGGGGGGGAGGGGGCCGGAGGTGTATGCATTTCTGGCATTTGCATACAGTAGGTCCAGAATTTTATTGTCCCTTGTGATGCAATTCACATACTGGGATGCTTAAAGTTTTCATAAATCATTGCAAGAAGGCCTTTTTAAAAATACTTCAGCTGTTTTGCAATTTACAACATTTATCCATTTAGTGACTTGGCTAAAACACTTTTCTGTTTATACATGTTAGTGAAGCACCAGCAGCCTAAACTAAGTAGGCTATAGCTTTGCCTTATCCTTGTGCATTCTATTGTTTGTTCATTATGCGGTACATGTTGTTGTATGTGTCTTTCATAGAATTGATTTTCCAAGTACCATTTTTATATCTGCTTTAATGTTCCAATTGTTGTCACATAGTAACTACAGCCAGTGTTTATGCTGTTTTTTGCTTGTCACTGTTTTTCTGTTATTCTCAAAAAGCCGTCTCATAGGCATGAAGTCCAGTTCAGTTCAATTTATTTGTGTAATGCCAGTTCATAAAAATCATCTCAGGGCACTTTATATAATCAGGTCTAGATCTTACACTATTACAAGGAAAACCCAACAAACCCCCCTTGAGCAGCACTTGGCGACAGTGGGCAGGAAAAACCCCCTTTAATGGAAGAAACCTCCGACAGACCCTGGGCAGCCTTCTGCCTCATCCGGTTGGGGTGAGTGGATAGAGGAGAGAGAGGAGAAGAAAAGCATCAGGACACAACAAAAATACAACAAACAGATGAGATACCATCTGCTCATCAGAAACATACAGCTCCGGAGCCACAGATAGCTGCAGGAAGGTACAGGGACGGAAAATACACCCAAACAAACCAAATCAAACCTGTCCTAGAATGCATGTCAGTAATTTCATTAAATTCTGATCATTTCAGAGGCACCACCTCATGGGCACAAATGAAGGCCATTAAAAGACTGTTGGTATTGTTAAAAATGCTAAGTGACAGCAGGACAAGTCCCCTGTTTGCAGTTACTAAGGTGACTGTCTTATCCACAGTGGTTGTTGTGGTGCCATGAAATACCAGAAGACAACATAACATGCCAAGTACCTTTCTACCCCCCTTCACTGGCCTACTAGGATTATAATATTAAACAAAACTATACAGCATTCACAATAGACATATACACAGTAGACATGTGTATACAGCCTACACACATATATTATATGTATAGTATATCTGTTCCTGATTTTGACAGTGATGTGCAGATAAAAGAAGGCAGTTGTAGAGACCTGGTTTGTGTGTGATTTAAAGGACATATCCTGGTCAAAAATGACTCCAAGGTTCCCTACAGCAGTACTGGAGGCCAGGGCTGTGCTATCTAGAGCAACTATATGGTCAGATAGGACATTTCTGAGGTTTTTAGGCCCAAGTACAATAACTTTGGTTTTGTCAGAATTGAGATGTAGAAAATTACAGGTTATCCAGGCCTTTATATTTTTGAGACATGCTTGATATTGTGCCTGTAATTGTCATAATGATTTTTTTGGTTTGTTTTGACTGGATTGGCTCAGTCACTGCTTGCTGCATCTTGGTGTGCTGTGTTAATTGTTTCCCACCCTGTTTCCTCCACATTTTCCCCCAATCCTCTACCTTCATACCTTCCCTGTTATTCCTTTTATCCTGTCTTCACTCAACCTTCTTTCTTCAATTCATATCTGTGGGTGCACTTTATTCTCTTTACCCCTCCTGTCACTGCCAAACTTCTCCTTCCTCTGGTCCTTCCCTCATCCCTGACTCCCTCCCTTTTCGCAGTAGTCTGAACAGCGTTAACAGTAGTGACTCCAGGGGATCCAGTGGCTCTCACTCTCATTCTCCTTCCTCCTCTTCTTCCTCCTCTTCCTCACACCACCTCTTCCACCACCATCACCCCTGCCATCGGTACCGTAGCTCCACACTGCCCCAGCAGGCCCCAGCCCGGCTCTCTAGCATCTCCTCCCATGACTCGGGCTTCATCTCTTCATCACAAGACCAGTACACCTTGTCCAAATCATCCTCGCCTATGCCAGCTGAAACAAAGGTAAGAAAAAAATGTCTGTCCCACATTTAACCTTAGTTTTAGATCCTAGTATACACAGTACATATGGTTGAGACAAAACTGTAAAACCACAAATCCCAGATTTACAAGTCATTGTAGTCACAGACAGAGAGAAAAACTCCAAATCAGCAATCCACACAAGTCTTTTCTCACATCCCACTAACCACTATGAGAGGCAGTTAGTTGGCAGTAGTAAGTATGTGATCATAGTGAAGTAATTTCACCACTATTATTATAGTTTAAATGCCCAGGAAATTAGTCTGCCTCCATTCTAGCCCAGGGCAAAACAGGTCTGCTCCATCTTGCTATTATAGAGTAGACCGCTGCGACAGACTGCGGTTTGGTTGCAGAGGCTTGAGCAAGCTGCATGTTGTATTTTCATTAAATGTGTCAAAGTAAAACAACATATTACAGTGTCAAGAGTATGCTTTAAGGACATTATGGACATATATCTATCAGCAAGTCTCATTCTGTCACATTGATCTCACCGTCCGACACAGGGTTTCAGACAGTCCCCCTGGAATATCTCACTGGTAATTATCTGTGTGGGGTTTGTGGTTAGAGATCAACCATGAAAGAGGCTGCACTACTTGATGTTAGCACACCAGCGACCAGAGTTCCCCATCCAGGACACAATAGTTTTAGTTGGACAAGTTTTTATGATGCAGTGAATTTGGTTTGGCAAGTCTGTATCTGACCCAGTTACAGTACTGTCCTGGGGATCAGCCATTTCATTGCCTCATTCTTGGAGTAATAACAGTTGGTTATGTTTGAAAGAGAACAGTCTCATGGCTTGATGTGGATCTTTTTCATTTCCATCCACTGACAGTACCCGCTTCTGTGCAGGGTGTAGCCGACCCAGCTGCTTCTGGAGGGCAGCTTGCTAAAAGATGATTTCTCTATATGCATGGATTAAATATATTATTGGTTTTAATAAAATAACCAGAATTTAAATTCCTAATAGATCCCTAACTTTCTTTGACTTAGCTTTTGCAAGGCTCCAGCACCTCTAACTCTGCTCATGTCCATGCAGTCGGTGCTGGTGTGACTTCCAGTGTACCTTCTCTACAGCCTCTAAAGGCACTTTGCTCTGCTTCACACTAACTGCTGAAAACTGTGGAAAAGTTGCCTCTTCTCTCTAACAAACTGCTTCTCTGTGCTTCCAATCTGCACATCTGTTTCTCTATCTGCTGTGCACCCCCACCCACCCACTCCACTCCCTCTGGTTTCGTGCTTCTGCTCTTGCTGCTCCAGCCTTGTCCCAGTTCCAGCTCCTCTGAGGGGTCAGACAATGGCCAGCTTCACAGTGCCAACAGCTCCCCCACTTCTCTAGCTGCTGCTACTGCACCTCAGCACACTACTGACAAGGTGAAACTCACTCATCCATCATGAACCTTAACCCTCTTTCATATAAATGCCTATGTTTTAACAGCATTACATGCCCCACAGTTTCTTCATACGAAACCTCAAACCTGGCTGTACTTTGCATCGAATTTTTTTTTACCACAGAAACTCCCCAGCATCAGTTTGTTCAGTTCTTATTCAGTTCAGAATTTGTGGCCATTTCCTTTGATCTGTGTTGATGTGTTCAGTATTGATTCCTTATTATTTTTTGTGTTCCTTTGAATTATTTCTCCTAAGTGATGTGGTTTGGTTTTTAATTTTCAGTAATGTATCTCATTCTGTGTGTGTTTTTCTGTTTGATCTGTTTCTGTTATCATCCCTCCTCCCGCTGATGTACACACATCCAGTTGTTGAATGGCTTTGACCACTACAGTCCAGGCAATTCCCCCTATCTGCACAGCAATGGGGGGAGTTTAGGCTCGCTGTCAGGCACTGCCCTCCCTTTCTTACCTGTTTCCTCCTCATCTTCCACCTCCTCCTCCTACCCCACTCGCTCATGGTCACGGCCCAACTCAGCCTTGCTGCCTCACTACTTCACAATGGGTTCCCCCATGGTGCATTCATCACGAGTTCCCAGCTGGAAGGTTTGTGCATCGCCTCAGTCTTGATAATCGACTGATTCTCATCCTCCTGTCGTTTGTTTGACATCCACACCTGGTTTAATTTTTAGTTTTTTTATGTGGTAATGTTTTTTAATATATCATTTTTTTCTTTTATACCTTGGTAAAATCCGCAAGCTTTCAAACTGAGTTGAAATGAAGAGTGAAAGAATTTCAGGCAAATCTGAATTTCGCCAAAATAAACTGACATTTCTGTCTTCATAGGACTGGGCCAAGCCAGGACCTTATGACCAACCCATGGTCAATACACTAAGGAAGAAGAAAGACAAGGAGACCCCAGCTGTAGTAGACAGCAATGATAGTATGAACCGTGATAGCAGCCCTCTCTCAGGCCCAGCCTCACGCACAGCCTCAGCACCAGCTCTGGCTTCACTACACCAGACCCAGCACCAAACGCCACCAGCATCAGTGGAGGACAGGAACAGGACTGTGGCTGCAGCTCTCAAGGTCAGTGTTTGTCTCTGTCTCCTATAGTTTGGCTTGGTTTACAACATCAGCTCTTATAAAAAAGGCAAGCACACTATTTTAGCAAGTAGAATCTCGGTAATTTATTTAATTGTAATATAATTAACACGCACTGCCTTTATTTAGCCACTTAATTACAGTACTTTATGCTCTATTATGTCTTCTTTGTCTAGCTTCAATAAATCAGTCTTAATAAAAGCCACTGGAAGTTTATTGTTGGCCAGAAAATGTTGAGTCACTTTCACTGACTGTATTTATTCTTAATCCTGTTAGATATTTGATTCAAAGTAGCTCTGTAAGGATTCAGGTGCTCTGTCCTCTTAACATTGTGCTTGAAGACTCCTGTTCTTTGCATTAGCTTTTCCCACAATAATTCCACAGTGATACAGTTGCATCTTTTTTCTGCCTGCTCTTGATGAAGAGCATGAACATAGCTGAACATGTAATGCTATGTGTGATGCTGACATTTCAGGCAACCTCACATTCAACTTTTAGCTGCTCATTGTTTTTGCAGCCGTGGCATTTAAACCACACAAATGAGCCTCCCACCATTTAATGACTATAATGAGTCTTACCTAATGATTTTAATGACTAATAATTTGTACCTGGCTGTATTCAGACAGACTTTCAGGCTTAGTTCCTTTTTTTTCACTGGGTGATTGTTACAGGCTGGTGATATTGAGACCCATGAGGAACTGGCTCTGGTCTTATCCAGAGGTCTGGAGCTAGGCACACAGAGGTCCAGTAGAGACTCCATCCAGTGCTCCAGTGGCTACAGCACACAGACCAACACACCCTGCTGCTCTGAAGACACTATACCATCACAGGGTAACACACTCCTTCTAAATTTAAAGTACAGTGTTAATTTATCCAAGTATCATAATATACAGTATCTTGCTGACCTTTCTCTTTCTGCCCCTCCAGTATCAGACTATGACTATTTCTCAATGGCTGGAGACCAGGAGCCCGAGCAGCAGCCGCCTGACTTTGACAAGTCCTCCACCATCCCCAGAAACAGTGACATCAGTCAGTCCTACAGACGCATGTTCCAGACCAAACGTCCAGCCTCGACAGCTGGCCTGCCTAGCACACAGGCTCCTCTTCCTGGACAGGGTGCGTACCCAGGGGTGCCTTATCCCTCCACACCGATCCACACAGGAGCGTATTCAACTACCGCTAGTGGGGCTTATCCTGCTACACCTACAGGTAGAGACTGCACCAATTGTGTCATAAATGTAGATGTACACTTGAAATGTTTTCATGTTTACATTTTTGATACTGTGTAGGTTTATGTTAATATCTCACTTTTAAAACATGAATTTCAGGTAAATGTGATATCTGGAGATCACTTCTCATTTGTTTTTCCCCTTCTTTCTCATTATGTCCTTCATTATCTTGTTAATAAACAACAAAGGTTACTGTGTAATATACTGAAATATACTTTTTTAAGTAAAATTCATATTTTTATTGGCTCATTTTATCATTTATGTTCTATGATTGCAGGATTTTATTCTGGGTCGAGCTCCCATAATGCCTCTGGCTCCTATTCTACACACCCTGGCCCAGTTATTGTCACCCCTGGGGTTGCCACAATCCGCCGCACTCCCTCTTCAAAACCTTCTGCCCGACGTTCAGGCTCAGTTGGGGGCACAGGGCCCATCCCTATTCGTACACCTGTCATTCCAGTAAAAATCCCTACAGTGCCTGACATGTCAGGAGCAATTAATGGGAGCAGGGGTGCAGAGGAGTTGCGGGGAGGAGGAGGAGAAAACCCAGATTTCTCAACATTTTCAGGAGGGGAGGATGCTGGCCCACTGCCTGTGGTGTCCTGGAGCGGTAAGGCTACAACCAATCCTCCCAGCATCCTCCTGCCCAACCAGCTGGCCCAGCAGCACCTTCACAGTGAGATCACGCAGGAAGGAGGGCGAGAAGTCAACATGCTGGTGGCCATTCGCAAGGGGGTCAAACTCAAGAGAACTCTCACCAACGATCGTTCTGCACCGCATATTCTATAATATCATCGCAGTGTGCAGGCAGGGTCAGGAGAAACGTGATCTCATGTCATGGAAATGAAGCTCCTCCTTCACTGTCTTTGTAAATGAGTTCAAAGGCTCTAGAAGTGTGGTGTACAGAATCACAAGGCTTATGTTAGTATGAGAAATCAGTTGACACCTGTTTCTCATTCTGTACATTTTCACATGAGAATCCCACAATCAGTGAATATATAGATACAGTATGCTATTGTTCAAGTGCACATTTTCAGATTTTGGCTTCTGATGCCACAGAAATTATATAAAGCTAGTTTTGGTTTTGACCTTAAGTGGATCAGTGTCAGTTGAGCAGTTGCACAACGCTGTATAAAGGGAACACCCACCGGTCCTCAAAAAATTCTGGCCAAAGCACTAACATGTTTTTGCAATCCGAGCCCAGGGCGGTGTGATGACAATGTAAAATGTTTATTTGTTAATAATAGAAGGACAGAGCCACCTTAAACCAGAGTATGTATGTTTTATTTAAGAAGACTGTAACATTGTACTTTACACACATCTATCCAGTATTATTCCTCTGTTGATGTTTCCAAGTTCTGAGTTAAAGCCTACTCATGGTAATGTCATAGTGTTGCTATGAACTGTCTGCTTGCTGATATGTCTTCTTGGAAATGCATGTATAGCATGCATCCTTTTGATTAATTCAGTTTTTACACATCACCTCCAGATTGTTTTTTGTTTTTTTTTGTTACCCTAAAAAACAAGGAAATCACATTAAAATTGTTGTATACTTTAAGAAATAAGTCAGTATAGGTACATTTAAAATAGTTTCATTTTATTTTATCTGGACAGTAAGATGTTTTGATGATATGAGGCTTTTCCTCAGACTGCAGCATTGCAACACTATAGGCTAAAACCAGTTGTCGCTGAGTTATATATAATTATGTTTCATTTACATTTCAGTTCACGCACTGTGAGACAATGGCTACTAAAAGATGTATGAAAGTGTAAATATTATTCAGCTGTACAAGTTAGTCCAGAAACTCGCACATTTTTAATTTATTTTCTCAGTCCTTAAATTTCCTTCTCTTTCTCAACCTCTATTTTTATATCTATATGAAATATCAGAATAATAGAGCCGTTTCCTAAATCCATACATGTGCTATTAGACATGTTGTTCATGACTGTCCTGCTACTATTCATATGGGCCCCTTGTTTCACACATACATGTATAAACTATGTTTTAATAATTACATAAATACTGGCTGGTTTGAACAGCAGTTTTATTTTGCTGACCTCCAGATACCAACAGAAGCAGAAATGATTAGATTTAACCTGTTTGTGTTTTGTGTTGTAGAGAGGCTTCCATCAGTCTTACTAGTGCACATTGTTGGATGATTCAGAGCTAAATCCACTCATTTTCCCTTCAGTAAAGAAAATGTATAATGTCTTTAGTTTGTGAATGAGAATTCCTGAATCTTTATAGCGTTGTAAATTATGAATACTTTCTGGTTGTGCACATGTTTGGGAGTGACTGAGGTGAAAGTAGACAGACCACTACTATGCTAGGAAGTTTGTTGGAAGTACATTTTTAAATGTTTCTTAAATTGATGGTATTGATTGATTAGTTGATCTGGTAGGCATCTTTTCTGTTAGATTTGAACAAGTGGTTTGTTGCCCACACTGTCAGCCCTTTCTGGCCTCATCAGACCCAGTTTCCCCGGAGACATATCGGCATTAAATCCAGTTTGTTTATGAGTTAAACACAAAGTTTGAGCAGGTGGATGCCCCACAAACCACCTGTATACAATATACTCCCATATTCTCTAACTTCACAAGAGCAAAGATCATATAACTGCATAGATGTTTTGGGGAATCCTGATTTTTTGTCAATCTTAATATTTTTTTTTCTTCTTTTTTTGGCTGTCCATCTGTCTAAAACTTGTATTATCTACCTGTGATTTCCATATTTAAATTACTAGCATAAATATGTATCAGTTGCCAAATGTCAGAGGTGTTTATAGTTTGACAGTACAGTTACAGTTGGTTTCTAGTTTAGTTTTCAGCTTATTTCTCCCCTCTAGGAGAGTTGACCTCTCTGTTCCTGTAAAGTTCAACAGGCTATGATGCAGTTTGTGTCAGGAAGTAAAAGTTTGTTATTTTTGTGTAATGACAGCTTTAGCAATTTAATAAAAATAGAAATGTTCCTTTGGCTCACTTCTTGAATGTGTGTGACCTCTGTGTATATCAAAAGTACCAAATATTAGTCTAGATAATCTCCCTAATGCAGAGCAGAGTTTGATTCTTTTTTTTTCTTTCAGGACTTAAAACATCTTTAAGTCATCGACTTCATCTCGCATTCCAGTAACTAGCTGACCAAACAGTCCCACCTCACTGTCCATTTATCAGCTAATCTGAAGCTTTCTGTCGTATCACAGAGCCCTCATCAACAGGGTCTGTTAACTTGGTTGTTATTGTTATAGATGCTCAAAACGTTCCGCCATTCCTGGCATCCATGGACTTTTTAGCTATCTGCCCACTGGCAAAAAGTTGAGCAAAACAGCTCATTCTTGACCTTAGAAAAGCAGTTTTTTCCCCACAGCGACATGTTCATTTTCACTTACATTTACCCAGTCTGAAAAAAAGGCCATGATGTGGGCTACTGGGTGGGAAATACTGACATACACAGGTTTAAATGCAACTGAACAGTGGGATAACCTCAGCACAGAATACAGTTAACATATAAACAGGTGATGTGCTTGCTTTTGGCCACCAGGGGGCACTCTCGTGTGAGCTTTGTTGAGAGACCAAACTAGAATTTTAGCTTCTCCTTGGATAATGTATCACTCCTCTCATTGTTAGAGCCTGAAAACTCCTCTGACCAATGAGACTTCAGCCACTCTTAACAAATAAAGGCCTTAAAGTAATCAGAAACTATGTAGGCTGAATAAAGTTGTTGTATCCGGTACTTTTTACCATACGGA